GGTAGGAAGTGAGAAGCACAGGCCGAGGGAGTATAGGGCAGACAAGGCAGCATGGGTCCGTTGTAAAAACCATGGCAACCACCAAAAGGAGGGGGAGGGGACCCCCCCCCCCTAGCATGTGGTGGGCACCAGTCTCAAGGCTCATGTAGCTCCAAAGGATGATTTTCCTCTCGAAAATACTGCGAAATGAGGCGTAAAATCAAGGGCCCGGAGGGTCTGACCACGAGTCTCTGGGGGGGTCCTCGGCCACGAACCCCCCCCAGCATGTGGTGAAGGTGCTGGGGGGGTCGGGACCCCCCCCCTAGCATGTGGTGAAGCCTCTGGGGGGGGTCGGACCCCCCCCCTAGCATGTGGTGTGAGTAGAAGCGCGCCCCCCTCCCTGGAAGCGATGTGCGCCTGCTCCCGGGCTGCGCCGATGCTCGCATTGGCCTGTCCAAGGGTTTCCTCGCACCCTACCTGGTTTCCTTTCCGTGTTTCCTGCTAGTTTTCCTAGATCACCCTCTAGTTTCCCGGGCTCTGAGCCGAGTCTGAGGCTGGTTTGGGCCCCAAATCTGCCAAATCGGCAAACAAAATACCGGGGTTTGCGGGTACCTGGAACACCCCCGGGTATACCTAGAAAATACCCTGTAGTTTGCCGATTTCCTAAATTTTGCGCTGTGCGTTCACTTCTTGATTCTTCCCGTCACTCACCTACCGCCCGGCACAACCAGGTTAGTGGCACGGCACCCGCGGCGCTCCTGTGCTCGCGACGTGCCCGCGCTGCGCGTCGGTCGCGACCTACGCGCCGGCGCGCGCACCCAAGTCCAATCTGGAGTTGATCGTTGCTTCCCTTTCGCGAGGCGGTGCGGACTGCCGGAGGCCTCGGTCTCCCCTCTGCCCGTGCGGACTTTCGCTAACTCCCTCAGCGTAGATCGTCTCTCTTCGGCGCGCTCGAGCACGTTTGGCACCAAGAGGCTTTGATTCTTACGACCCTCACCCGCCAACGCAAGGCAGGTGTGCACTCTGCTAGTACTTGTGTACTCACATCACTACACTGTGGGGTGTGCCCGGAGCATGATGTATGTGCGCGTCTGTGTGTGTGTGGGACAGACGTTGTTGTCCTATGCGCGGGGCTTCCCGCGGGGACCGAAGACGTAGCAGCAGCAGCAGCACCTACCGCCAAGCTGGTCCCGGGGTTCTTTTTGTGTATTTGCTCTCAAAGACCTATTTCTTCGCTATTTTGTGTAAGGAGAAAGAAATAAACAGACAACCCAAGGGAGGGATGGGAGGACGGCACGCCGCCACCACACAGGGATTTTAAGGAGAGGTGTGTGATGCGCTAGCCGTCGCCCACCCTAGGGAGGCTGCCTCTTCCTATCTCTCTTCGCAGTCTCTCGCCGCTTCTCGCTGCAACCTTCATGCCACCTCGCGGTCGTCCCACTCTCGTCGTTCATTTTATACATTTCACGCGCGAGCCTGTGACTAGGCCCCGGAGGCCTCAACCCCCAACTAAAGAGTTGACGGGGGGTCTCAACCATCAACCAGATGGTTGAGGGGGGGCCTCAACCTCAACCCTTCAACCCATGCCGGGGAAGGGCGAGATTCTCGGCGGGCCCCCCCCCGGGGCAACTCCGCGCTCGACACGGCGCAGGAGGGACCTGAGGAGGGTCCTGTGGTGCTACGGCGCTTTCGGCTGACGATGCAGACTCTTCAGCTCACCGTTCCGCTCGGCGTCTCGGAGGGCCAGCAGATCCAAGTGCAGACCCCCAACGGATTGATGATGGTCGTTGTACCTCCCGGGGCGGTGCCCGGAGGGCCGCTCACGATTCAGGTGCCCGTGCTCTCGCCTGCTCCGGTCGTGCAGCAGGCACCGTTTCCGCCGCATCCCATGCAGATGCAGGCGCCCCCGCGCCGTCAAGGATGCGAGCACGCCACGCCGCTCCTCGGCGCGGTGGACCCGCCAGAAGCACCCGTCCTCGTGCCAATGGGCACGCCAGTCGCCGACGCCATGCCCAAGCTGCCCGCCGCCTTGTCGCTCAACGATCCCTACTCGGGCTTCGCGTACACGACCGAGTCGGCGGACGAGGGCGGCAGCCACCACCGGGCCGCGTTCGACGCGAGCAGCGGCATCTCCGACGCGCGCGGCGCCCCGCCGCCGATGGGCACGCCCGTGTTTTACTCGGACGAGGAGCTGGCCGCCCTCAACCAGCAGCCCTTTCCCGCCGACGTCTACACCGCCGGGGTCAAGCAGGGCGGCGCGCCGGTCGCGGGCCAGCCGCTCCCCTTGGTGGCCGGCGTGCCGGTCGCCGAGAGCGCGCAGGCTGTCATCTCGCAGCCGGTGCTCACGACCGCCGCGGGCATGCCGGTCGTCAACAGCGTCGCCGGCCTCTCGCCCGCGCGCACGTTTTACGACGGGTGGAATGGCATCACGAGCTGCGACAGGCGGCTGCAGGACAGCGTGGACGAGCTGATGCTCTTCCTGAACACGCACAACACGCGCCCGCTCGTGGGCTGTCAGGTCGAGGGCTGGCACCACGAGAGGCGCACCCGCCGACGGCGCGTCGTGCGCGACGGCAAGGAGCACTGGGAGACGGAATCATACATCGAGCGGGTGCGCGACTTCATGTACAAGGTGGACCTGACGCCCTTCGTCTACCCATTCGGCTTCATCACCAGCGTCGATGCGGCGGGGCTGAGCGTGCCCGACCTGTGCCAGAAGTTCGTCAATGACACCAACCTGCTCAAATCGCTCGCGATGAAGAAGGAGGTCGACTTTGATTTCAACGGGCTGCACTCGATGGTGTACGGCTACATCCGGTCGCTCGGCTGGCGGCGCGGCCTGACGGTGAGCTTCCCCAAGGCCAACGCCTCGGTGCGCGTCTACCACGAGAACTGGCTCTCCGCCATGTGGGAGAATTGCTGTTGCCGCATCCTCTGCCACCTCACGCTCATCCCGTGCCTGCTCATGCGCATCTACCGCGGCGACTGCTGCTGCCACGAGGACCACGCCGAGGAGGACGTGCGCTCCTACTTCCGCATCAACTACCAAGCCATCCAAGTCTTCGAGGGCATCCGCTCGCAGCTCTGGGCCCCGGGCTTCTCCGGTGCCGCGAGGGCGATGGAGCTGCTCCGGAATGTCTTCTGGTAGCTGCTAGCCGTCTTACAACGATTACGTGTACGTGAGAGAGACTGTTTGCTACGTCTTGTGTCGGATGTGCGTCGTCCCACCGCTCTATCCATCTTACGTCTCATTTGACCTTTTGTAGAGGCGCCGCCGCCTCCCACGTGTTCGCTGCCGGATCGTACCGCTCCACCTCCCACGCTCCCAGAGGTAGCCGTCGTTTGGTGCCTCCCACACAGCGTACAGCTTGCCGTCGAGGCTTACCTTACTTACCTTGCCGTCGAGGCTCGAGCACTGCCATGGGCCCATGGCGTGTGCGGAGAATGCCGTGTCTCTGCCACTGGCGCCACCGCCTCGACCGAGCTGAGCGCGTTGAAGCCGGCATCATGCCCGCCCGCCACGTACAGCTTGCCGTCGTGCGTCGAGCACCGCCGTGCCGACATACGTGCGTGCCGTCGGCATCGGCGCCACCGCCTCCGCCACGCATTGGCAGCCGGATCGTACCGCTCGACCGAGCTGAGCCAGCCGTCGTCGCCGTTGCTGCCGCCCACTAGAAAAAAGAGGCGAAAAAAGAGAGCGGAGATTGAAGAAAAAGAAACCCGCCGCGTCGGCTCGGCGACAACCATCCCGCTGCTTGCTCATCCCCAGTGCTCACATCTCACACAGCACTGCTCACACACAGGCTCCAGGGCTCGGCGGCAGCCTCCCGCGACCGCTGCGCGATGCTCCTCCTCTCGCTGGCCGCCGTCTCGTTCGCACGTTTTGCCCGACACCCTCCGACCCTCTCTCCAAGGAGGCTCGGCACTCCCGCGCTCAGCGATGGCGGCGACGAGGCGGCCATCGACCGCCAGATGGCCGAGATTGGCGCCCCTGCCCTCGTCGGGCTGTCCATCGAGCCAGTCGCCAGCCTCGTGGACACCGCCTTCGTCGGCCGCTGCTGCGCCACAGCCGACCTCGCCGGCGTGGGCATCGGTGTGGGCATTTTCAACCTCGTCGCCAAAGCCTTCAACTTCCTTTCGCCCGCCACGACGTCGCTCGTCGCCGCTGCGTCGCCAGAGTCCGAGCCGGGCGAGTTCACCACTCCCATGCTTCAGGCCGTCTCGGCCTCCCTCGCAGTGGCCTCCGTGGCCGGCCTCGGCATCGCCGCCGCCCTCACCCTCGGCGCCGGCCGCCTCCTCAACACGCTCGGCATCGCCGCGGGCAGCCCGATGCGCCCCTCGGCGGTGGCGTACCTTCTGCTGCGAGGCCTGTCGGCGCCAGCCTCGCTCGGCCTCTGCTGCATCCAGGGCGCCTTTCGCGGCGCGCGCGACACGAGGACGCCGCTGCTCGGCCTCGCCACCGTCACCGCAGTCAACGTCGCCCTCGACGCCGCCTTCATCCCCGCGCGCGCCCTCGGCTGGGGCGCCGCCGGCGCTGCGGGCGCCACTGCGGCGGCTCAGTACGCCGGCGCCGCCGTGATGCTCCGCCAGCTGCTGCGGCGGTGCGGCGAGTCGTCGCTGCAGCTGCCTCGGCGGCGCGACGTGGTGCGGCTGCTCTCGTCCGGCTCCGTGCTCACGCTGCGCACCCTCGCGGTCCTCGGCACGATCTCGTACTCTTCGCTCCTCGCTGCCCGGGTCGGCGCGGCCTCCGGCGCCGCGCACCAAGTCTGCCTCCAGCTCTGGCTCGCGGCCTCCCTCCTCGCCGACGCGGTCGCCATCGCGGCGCAAGCGCTGCTCGCCAACGTCGCCGCCGCGAGGCGCACCAGCGCCGCCCGGACCGTGGTGCAGCGCACGCTGCGCGCCGGCTGCGCCACCGGCTTGGGCACCGCAGCGGCCCTGAGTATCGGCGGGCGCAGCCTCTTCCGCCTCTTCGCGGCGGACCCCGCCGTCCTCGCGGCTGCGGCCGCCGCCTGGCCGGCTGTCGTCGCGTCGCAGCCTCTCAACACGCTCGCTTTTGCTGCAGACGGGCGAGCCGCCTTTCCTCCCCCTCTCTCCCACCGACACAGAAGCTCCCCCCCTCCCTCCCCCCCCCCACCACCACCACACCACACACGCACACACCCCTAGCACCCACCTCCGTCTCGTAAGGTATTCCGGGCGGCGCTGGCCTAGGCTCCTCTTCGGCGCGAGCGACTATGGCTTCTGCGCCGTCGGCATGCTTCTCTCCGCCGCCCCAGCCGCGGCAGCCATGCGGTGGCTCGCGCCCCGGTGGGGTCTGCCGGGCGTGTGGGCCGGACTCGGCGTGCTGATGGGCATGCGCACTCTCCTCGCGGCCGCCCGCATCGCCAGCCGCACCGGCCCGTGGCGCGGGCTCCTCGGCGACCCGCGCGCAGAGCGACGCGCGTCCGTGGTGGCTCGCGCGCTGGCGCGACGTCGCGCCGACGGAGGCGGGGGCGAGGCGGAGGCGACCGAGGCGGAGGCGGGCGTGTCGGAGGAGGCGCGCGCCGCGCTTCTCCAGGAGCTCGCTTGCTTTTGCCCGGACTCGTTCCGCGCCCCGTCCCACACACACACACACACACGCGTCGGCTGCAGGCGCGCCGAATGGCGGGGGAAGCGGCCGCGGCCGCCGAGGCGGCGGAAGAGGCAGTGCGGGCTGCGATGGCGGAGGCCGCTGCCGCCGCCGCAGCAGCCGAAGACGCGTCGGCGGCGGAGCAGCGCGCAGCTTTCGACGCGGATGCGGCAGCCGCAGCCGCAGCGAGCACGGCGTGGCAGTTTGCTGCGAGCGCCGCCGCAATGGAAGAGGCGACGGCCGCTGCAGAGGCGGTGCCTCCCCTCTCCCCGGAGGAGGAGGAGGAGTGGAAGCGGGCGCAAATGGAGACGAGGCCGGAGGACGCAGCAGAGACGCTGCGTGCGCATTGGCCTAGTGCCGACGTGGCGCCGCCTGGAGCAGAGCCGCTGCGCTCTGTGCGGGACGTTCGCATCGGCCAGAGGGTCCGCGTCCTCTCGCTTGACATCGCGCGGACGGCCATGCAGTCGCACCCGTGCGGATGGAACGCGCAGATGGAGGAGTTTTGCGGCGTGCTTTCAAAGGTGCTGAAGAAGGATGACGGCGACGGCACACTCCAGCTGTCGAACCCTGTCGCTGGCGGAAGCTGCTATTGGTTCTCTGTCGGATGCTGCGTGAAGCCGTGAGCCGCGCTCCTCCGCTCTTCTTTGTGGTCATCGGCCAACCCGTTGCTCATGCCGGCGTTAGAGCCCCTGGTAGGAAAACCGACGGCGTCTCCAGTTGATGGAATCTGGGTTTGGAGATGATGGAGGGAAGATAGCCTGGGCGATTGCCAACGGCTGAAAATGGCTCCGACAGGTATACACCAATCTTTCACCTGCGCCCGCCCCACCCCGCCCCGGCCGCGGGCGACGCCGCCGCCCGCCCCCCACCCGCACACGGCCGTCCTCCGTTCACACGATCGTCCTCCGCCCGTTCTCGCTGGGTTGACCATCCCTGACACTTGGCCAAAATGTGTGCAAAGCCACTTGCGCTGCTCTGCGCGGCCCTGCGGCCGGACCCCGTGGGCTCCGCGTGGCCTGAGAGACCGGGCCCGATGGCCTGACACGCGCGTGAGCCGCCGATTCCACGGGAGACGCCTCCGAAGAGCTCCGAGGCACTGATCGCGCCCACTCTCGACCCCGTACGTACGCAGGCCCTGAATGTCTGATTTCTGCTGAGCTTCAAGGCGTGGGACTCGCAACGATGGCCTCGCGCAACCCTCGCCACATCTGACTTGCCCACTGCATACCTCGCGCAGGCGCTCTGGACGCTGCTCCACCGGAGAAGCGGCATGAGGCCCTCGCCGCCCTCGCCGCTCTTCGCACTGCGCTGCAGCCCGCGACGCCGCCCGACGAACCGGCGCCGACCGCGCCGCCAGACATGTTCTTCGCCGTGGCCCGACGCGTCGCTGGGCTACTTTCACGAGCTACCGTGGCAAGAGCAACACGCTCTGGTGGAGTGGGCTCGCCTGGCGCAGCGCCCGTCGCGCGCCGTCGACCGCGCGGATAACGCCCAGTACGCCGCGTATGTTAAGGCGAAGGCCAAGACGGCGTCGCAGGAGGAGCTGAAGGCGCTGGTCACGGAGTGGGCGTACGGCATGTCCTTCTTTGAGCGCTGGCAGGAGCGGGGCGTGCGATCCGTCGCGCAGCTGAACGCGGGCCTGCGGAGCATCTGCGCGTGCCGCGCCCCGGCCTGCCGATCGGGCTGTACGGCTAATCAGGCCAAGCTGGATTGGCTGCGAGAGCAGATCGAGATGCGCACGCGCGGGTTGCAGTGGGTCGAGTTCGCGGCGCGCTGGTCTTCCAGCACGGACGAGTACGTCGGCACCGTCGAGGAGCTCACGGGCCACCTCAAGGAGCTGATCGAGCACGAGCGCGACCTGCGCGAGAACGACGAGCTCCCCGACGTGGCGCCGCCGCCCGTCGTCAGGCGTAAGACCTTCAAGCAGCTCGGCACGCCCACTGCGCAGGCCGAGGTGCTGATGGCGGCGCGCGAGGAGCTCACGCCCGATGAGCTGCGCGAGGCGGCCGAGGACGAGCGCGACCGGCTGGAGGAGGCGGGCGAGATCGACCACGTCGCCGACGCGCAGCCCGAGCGCCCTCCAGATTTTGCCAGCTTGCTCAACGTCCACCTCGAGGTGCGCTGGCCGTATCGCGTGCCGGACCAGGCGAAGAAGCGCGGCTACAAGACCCACTACATCTGGGCGGAGGGCGAGGTGGTCGAGATTGCCGACGGCACGACTACGAAGCGCACGCCGCAGTGCAAGACGGTCCTTGCGTGGGGCGCGGTGCGCATCAAGTGGCCGAAGGACAGCCGCTACGACGAGGATGAGTCGTTCACCTGGACCGTCTTGGTGGAGGACTCGTGGCGCAAGGAGAAGCACCTCGGCTGGCGCTTCGCCAAGCCGGAGCTGGCGCGGCGCGGCGCGGCGGCACGCGCGGCAAAGCGCGCACGGGCTGACACCTCGTAGTGGGCGGTGCGCCACGGTGGGGTCACGGCAGGGGGTGCTCACACTGCGCGGCCGCTGCCAGAGCGCGAAATTTCGCGACTTCGTGCTCGTGTATCTTTAGTCAGAGACATGTCTGGAGGATAAGGAGTATAGCAGTGTGATCCCCGGCATTAGTACAGTCATTGCAGTGCGCTTTGTGGTTGTTCCGGGCATATTTTCATCTGACCCCTCTGGCCTACCATGGGCTCTACGCGGCGTACACGGTGAGCCCGATCCGTCTGTGCTCCTCTTGGACTCCCGATTCGCCTAGTGAAAAAGACGAAAACAGGGGGTACCTACCTGTTGCAGGGCCCTCTGGGGCGGTCAAAACCGGACCTACCTACCAATTGCATAGGGTGTCACCGTGGTAAACAGACCCCCTATCCGGGTAGGAGCCGGAACCCTGGGGCTCACTCGATGCTCCAAAAAAGGCATTTTTCGTTAAAATTACACAGTCTATCGCGCACAACTCTACCGCCCCCCCCCCCCCTCGGAACACCAATCTAAAGGAACCCTAAGCTGGAACCCTAAACGATTGGCTGCTGGTACCCAGCCCTTGGCGTCGCTACGTAGGACGCGGTCGCCGACGAGGAGGTGAGGGTGGTGGTGTCGGTCGCCGTGAGGGGCGCGTCCTCTTTGCGCTTCGATGCGGCGTACGCGATCACGTCCTCTCGCGGCAGCAGCGGCTCCCCGGCCCGCATAACCGTCCTGCAACACACAAGGCGGCGCCGCGGTCTCGAGGTTTCGGCCGAGACGTCTGCCGGGTTTTGGAAGCGTGCGTCTGCGCGCGTCCAACTTCGCCAAGTGGTTTGGCTGATCGAGTCGAGCTCGCCCCTGCGCCAAGTGAAAGCGCACCATGCGCGTCGACATTGGCGAGGCGTCACACCCACTCCCAGAAATCGCTCCGGGAACTCCCGTCGATGTCATCATCTGTGGCACCATCAGGCACGCCTCCCACTCTCGCTCTGGCGGCTGGCAGTATCGAGCTCAGCCCCGTGAGCTTTCCTGCCCCAGGGAGCGACGAGTCGACGAGTCAGCGTTCTTGACGCATGTAGTACAGCCTCTTGTGGCCAATCGCCTGAGCGTGGCTGTTCACTTATGCGTCGAGTCCGATGCTGCTCACAGCATTCTTGCCCGTGCCGTGCGTGCCTGGGCGGTGCCCTCAGCTGTGCATGAATTGTTCACAGATGCTCTGATGCGTTTGCTAGTGCCCGAATGGCGTCTGACAACTTCCCACCCGATCCATGCCCCGCCCGCCCGACAGGGGGGGTCCCCCCGGAGGGGGCTCTCTGGGGCATTTTTGGGTTGATCGCTTGTGCCGATCTCGGGTCGATCTCGGGTCGATCTCGGGTCGATCTCGGGTCGATCTCGGGTCGATCTCGGGTCTCGGGTCGGTCTTGGGCGGGTCGGTCTCGGAGTGGTCTAGAAAAGAAAAAAAATGGGGCGAGGATGAGGCGAGAGATGAGGCGAGGTGTGAGGCGAGAGGTGGGGGGCGAGATGAGGCGAGATGAGGCGAGATGAGGCGAGATGAGGCGAGATGAGGTGAGATGAGGCGAGATGAGGCGAGGTGAGGCGAGATGAGGCGAGGTGAGGCGAGATGAGGCGAGGTGAGGCGAGATGAGGCGAGGTGTGAGGCGAGATGAGGGTTGAGGCGAGGTGAGGCGAGATGAGGCGAGGTGAGGCGAGATGAGGCGAGGTGAGGCGAGACGAAGCGAGGTGAGGCGAGATGAAGCGAGGTGAGGCGAGATGAGGCGAGATGAGGCGAGACTAGGAGGCGAGATGAAGCGGGATGTTGTGTGGCTGCTTGTGCTGCCAAGCAGGCAGCACAAGCAGCCATACAAGTGAGCTTTTGGGTTGTGTGGCTGCTTGTGCTGCCTGCTTGGGAGCACCCGCGGCCCAACTAACGACGAGGCTATATCTTGCCTCCTAGTCGCGCCTTTATGGCGCCTCACTCCGGCTGGCGGGCGTTCCTCTCGCCTCAAAGGGTCTCGTCTTGTTTCGTCTGTCAGCCTCTGGCT